ACCTTGCCTTCATTGGCCGGGGAGTCATCCACCTTGCCTTCATTGGCCGGGGAGTCACCAACTTTGCCTTACAGATTAGGCGTCTTCTCTAAAAATCTTTTAATATGCATTATGCTTTAATTATTAAAAATATGATACATTTTTATATTTAGATGTACTTTCAAGAGTTTGAATTTTTGTGACTCATGGTATCTCGATCTTCCACTGAACTATATATACACTGGAATGAGTATCGAGAAAAATTCGTGGCCGCAATTAATCAGCCGCCATTTTGGTTAGGTATGATTTGAGCGAATTAGAAGCGTTCGCGCGCGCGTTACGATAAATGTACCGATTGATGTACTAGCGATATATGAAAATCTACGAGGATCGTCTGAAAAGTTTTGAGCCTCATCATGAAGATGGCCTTACTCGTCAAAGCCATTCTGGTATTATAATCGTGATACTTACGAAAGATATCTGTGACAATTATGGCCACTTTGGACGTTCAGTTCTTGTTTGACAATCATTTGTGTCGTCCTTTTGTAAAAATGGAAAAAATTGAATATCGTGCTATAATTAAATTCTTGCATTAGAAAGGCAATATGTCTACGCAAATTAAAACCGAGTTGGACGCTGTTTACGGGGACTCTGCCCCATTATTTGCCACCGTGAAAAGATGGGTAGCTGAATTTAAACGTGGTCGTACCAGCTTAGCTGATGATGAGCGTTCGGGTGGACCAACAACTGCGACCACCACCGATAACATCGAAGAAATTCATCAAATGATAATGGACAACCGTCGAATTAAGATTAGGGAAATAGCAGAGGCTGTTGGCATATCAAAAGAACGTGTTTGTTATATATTGACTCAAGAATTAGACATGCGTAAGTTAACCGCGTGTTGGGTGCCGCGCTTGCTTACTCTGGATCAAAAACACATTCGAATGAACATTTCTAAGGCCCTGTTGGAGCGGTTTAAGCGAAACGGGTCGGATTTTTTGCGTCGATTAATAACGGTTGATGAAACTTGGGTCCACCACTTCACTCCTGAAACGAAAGAACAATCAAAACAGTGAACTGCGAAGGGTTAACCTGCTCCGAAGAAAGCGAAGACGATTTTATCGACGGGAAAGGTGATGGCGACTGTTTTTTGGGACAGTCATGGAATTGTGTTGATCGACTATCTTGAAAAAGGTAAAACGATAACAGGGACGCACCACGCATCATTGCTTGACAAGCTGAAGGCAGAAAATGAGAAAAAACGACCGCATTTGAAAAATAAGAAAGTGCTGTTCCATCAAGATAACGCACCGTCTCACACTTCCGCGGTCGCTATGGCAAAAATTCACGAATTGCGGTTCGAATTAATTGACCATCCACCGTATTCACCAGATCTGGCCTTCAGCGACATTTTTCTGTTTCCTAGGCTCAAAGTTTGGCTCAGAGGACAGAAATTTTAATCGAATGAGGAGGTCATCGTATCCGTAGACGCCTATTTTGCAAATCAAGATGCTCATTGTTATTTGAATGGATTAAAGGGGTGGGAGCATCGCTGGAAAAAATGTATCAACTTAAAAGAAGACTACGTGGAAAAATAAAATTGAATTCGACCGAAAAATTACTTGTTTCTACATTCGGCTCAAAACTTTTCGGACGACCCTCGTATATGGACATGAATGGTATATAAACAAAAATAATGTCACTTCAATTTTATTAGTACATTCAATAAAATAAATATATAAATTAATATATACATATACAGGGTGTCTGGAAATGACCGCCAAATGTTTCATACGTGAGTAGAACAGGTTATACTGAGTCAAAAAGTCTTGTACCATTTTGCGGTATCAGCAATATTTAACGAGATATTAACGTTTAAAGATAGCCGCGTACGCGCGTCCACCCGGCCTACTATTGCCGAAGATACGGCTCATGCCGCGCGGGCCGCGAGGAGCGGGGATAGCCTAGCAGTCGCGCCACGCTATTCGAGCTTAGTGACACGCGGCGGTGAGCGGGGCGCTTGCCCCACTCCCCGCGCGCCAAACTATCGATGGTGGATATTCGGCGTTTTGGAAATAATATCTCGATTGGGAAATGATCGAAATATTTTTGAGAACTCAATTTAGTTCGCTCTAAAGCGTGCGCGTGTACATACAAAAAATGTTACATATGTATAAATATGACTTATCGATTGGGAAATGATCGAAATATTTTTGAGAACTCAATTTAGTTCGCTCTAAAGCGTGCGCGTGTACATACAAAAAATGTTACATATGTATAAATATGACTTATTTTAAATAAATAATATGTATATTTTAAAAGGGTATTTGATAATTCTACCGACAACGTTCGTGAATAAGATAGAGCGCAATAAACTGAGTCAAACTGAGTCTTTTACCATTTTGTAATTTTCGCAATAGTTAACAAGATATTAATTATTAAAATATTGGTTTTGAAGGACTTTTTAGTCAAGTACTATCAACTTTACAAATAAACAGCAAGAGACAAAAATTGTTTATCTTTTTCTCATAAAGCTCTACAAATCTTTTCAGAATTTTTTATCAACCTTTTAGTACTGCATTTTCTTATTAACAACTATTTTTACAAAAATGAGAAAATACAATACTAAAAAATTCTGAAAAAATTTCTAGAACTTTGTGAAAAGAAAAAAAAACAATATTTGTCTCTTGCTATTTTTCTATAAAGTTGATAGTATTTGAGTAAAAGATTCTTGAAAACCAATATTCAGCGATATTTAGTAATTAACATCTTGTTAACTATCGCGAAAATTGCAAAATGATACAGAACTTGTCAACTGAGTTTAGTCCGCTCTATCCACGAGCGTTATCAGCCCGACAATTATTAAACAAGTATTAAACATCCTGTATTAATAAGAAAATATTCTTTGTCAAGATAATCGCTACTCAAAACAATATGAATAAAATTTACGTCTTTTTTTATTAGGACTAGGATGATATTTTTCTGCATGTACGTACACGAAATATTAATCGGTATATATAATGCAGGCTCGCGAGCCAACACTGAAAAAAATGCATGTAATTTTACATAGAAATTACATGTATATAGAAAATTACCTAAATATGATTCGAAATTTATAATTTCCAGTAAATTTCCAATCATATTTATTTAATTTAAGTAATTTTCCAGTCATAAACATGTAATTTCCATGTAAAATTACATGCATTTTTTTCAGTGAAGAAATAATTATTATTTTTGTCATTTTTTTTCTGGTGAAAAAACTGATGAAGCACTTATTTTTATTTCCACACCACCTGCACAAAAGCAGATGCGCGGCTTTTCGTCTCTCGCAAGAAGTTGCTGTATCCGTTTAAAATGATACGGATGCAGTCCGATAAAGGACTTTTATATTTATTTCGATCCCATCTACCTTCCTGTGGGGAATTGGAAAAGTCTCGCTAGACACCTTGCATATAAATATAAATAATTATATATAAACCTTTTTCCCGGGCAATTGCAACCAACGTGGAATGTTACACACATATTATATTATCTGTTATATTCCGTTATACAGTAGCAATATGATAGTATATATATATATATTTATGTTTACTAGGAACTAACGATTATACAATATAAAAGACATAAAATTATTAAATTATATGCTCATTATCCCCTCACATTGTATCTGAAAATTAACTTCAAGAGAGTCAAATTAAAAGTTAATAGTTATCGATTAAATGTACAATAACTAAATTAAATTAAAACATTAAAAGTCTAAAATGTTACTACGTTAAGTTAAAATTAATTAATAAATAATAAATGATTTATTAAGACCCCGTATGTGTGAATACACAACATATAGGAGTTAAAGCCTATAACGGTTGAAGCTGAATCTTACAAGGGACTATCTCGGTTTGTATAACAAGTTAATGAAAGTCCTTGATATCAGCAATAGTTGACAGTATATGGTAAGATGTAAATTAAGGAAAATGGCGGGAGCGTACAGGTCGTAGGTTCCGAGAAATTTAGTATTATAGTGCATAGTAAAAGTTCTAGAACGGCTAATATCTCAAAAAATATTGATTTATCTAAAAAATGTTTTATACAAAAGTAATAGAATTTTTAAAAAGTTATCAGACGATGAATAGAAAAATAAAAATCGGGCTCTTGAGATAAAACTTAAACAATAGAAGAAAACACGGGTAATTAAGAGCCTAAACTCGCAGTAATTGGAGCGATTATATAAACATATATTTCTCAGTATTACGTATATATCAATACAGAACGTTTCAGCTTAATTCAAACCATCTTCAGCAGTGTAGTATAATAAAATATAAATTGACATTAAAAAGTATATATAAGAGTCAAATAAATACTTGAATATAAATATATCACATAAATACAAAGAAATTTAATTAAAGTTTATAAAACTATTACATGTTTTAGCTTATTATTAAGTCATATTCAGATGATCCATAATTATTCTTCAAGATATCCATATACGAGGGTCGTCTGAAAAGTGTTGATCCTAACATAGAAACAAGTAATTTTTCGGTCAAATTCAATTTTATTTTTCCACATAGTCTTGCTTTAAGTCGATTTTTTCCAGCGATGTTCCCATTCAAATAATACTGAGAGTCTTGCTTTGCAAAATAGGCATCTACGGATGCGATGACCTCCTCGTTCGATGAAAATTTCTGTCCTCCGAGCCAAACTTTGAGCCTAGGAAATAGAAAAAAGTCGCTGGGGGCCAGATCTGGTGAATACGGTGGATGATCAATTAATTCGAACCGCATTCGTGAATTTTTTCCATAGCCGAAGTGTGAGACGGTGCGTTATCTTGATAGAACAGCACTTTCTTCTTTTTCAAATGAGATCGTTTTTTCTCAATTTCTGCCTTCAGCTTGTCAAGCAATGATGCGTAGAACATCCCTGTTTTATCTTTTTCAATATAAGGTGCGCCCGGCAATGTAAATCTGAAATGCGAGCTAGAAGATGGCGAGCGTGATCACGTGATCTTCGAGCAAGCCGAGCATAAAAGTTAATGTCGAACGATTCTGAGATGTCATCGCTATTTCATTCTTTAACCTGAAAAGTAGGTTTATTAATGTTATTAACGTTAAATATTAATTAGATATATATAAATATATATATAAATCTATAAATAATAAGAAATAAATAAAAAATAATTAAAAATGTATATAAATGTGAATTAGCTGTATAAGAATTATGTTAATTATGTCAATTGTGAACATAAAGAATTGTTATAAAATAAAATTAATTGAATATATTATATAATTATATATACACTAGGAACAAAATGAATAATGCAGGAATTGGCTTTATTTTAAATTTTGCTTGGGATATATTTTTTGATGACACTGATAACGAAGATGAAAATGTCAAAATTCCAAGAGTTTATCAATATGCAGAAGAAATTGTCCCTCGTTTCTCCGATAGAACATTTAAAACACACTTCCGAATAACACCGAATACGTTTGAAGAATTGCTCACAAAACTTAATAGCACTGAAGACAATATAAATGTTGGATGCAAACCTCTTCCACTTATAAAACAATTAATGATTACCATTTGGTATTTATCAAATATTGAATCTTTCCGGTAAGTTTTCATGATAAATTACTGATATAAAATAAATTATTTACGGTGCAAACAAAACTTCTTTATTTTCTTATTCCTATTTTTCTTTTTAGATCAGTAGCTGATCGCTTTGATATCAGTAAAAGTACTTGTTGGGATATACTTTATAGAACATGTAAAAGTCTTTTAAAAGTTAATATCACATATAAAATTATATCATGGCCAAATAGAGAACGTGCTATAACAATAATGAAACAATTTCAACAAATTAACGGGTTTCCAAGTAAATAATAACTAAAATTTTTCATTTGCTATTTTTCATTTACTATTTCGAATGTTTAAGTCTAATCTTTCTTTAGGAATTATTGGAGCTATCAACGGATTGCATGTCCGTATATTAAAACCAAAGAATCATCCAAATTCTTACTGCAACAGAAAAAATTACCATTCTGTACTTCTACAAGGAGTCTGCGACAGTGAAAGATCATTTCTAGATGTCTATGTTGGAGAACCTGGATCCATTCACGATATCAGATTATTTAAGAAGTCTGATTTATATGCAAAAATAAAAAATTCATCAATTGATTTTCCTAATGATAGTCACCTAGTGGGAGATTTGGTCTATCAGTTATCTCCATATCTTCTAGTAGGTTTCAAAGATGTTGGTGGGTTAACTAACCGAGAAAAAAATTTTAATAAAAAATTATCACAATGTCGTGTGAGAATAGAGAATGCTTTTGCATATTTAAAAGGACGATTCAGACGCTTAAAGTATCTTGAAACAGTTAGATTAGATTTAATTTGTCTATTGATAGTATCCGCATGTATTATGCACAACATCAGTATTTTAAATGGAGATTTACCTGAGGAACTTGTAGACAATATGGAGGTAAGGGATATAAGAGACTATGAATTTATTGCAAACATAAATGAAGAAGAAGGAAATAATGCAGGCATATTGAAAAGAAGAGAAATTATGAATATTCTTCCAATAGAAATATGGGAAATATGGAATGAATAAACATGTTTATACAGTTCAAACATATTGATTATTTTATTTATGAACTAAATTTATAATGTAGTTTATTTATATATATCTATATAAACTAAAAGTTACACAACATAAATAACGTTTAATTATTAAATGATAATATTGGAAACTTAAAACAAAAACAACAATTTTAGACTAAGACTAAGTTTGTTCTTTATGCTTTCGTGCTGAAAGCATAATTCTATCTTTCGAAATTATGCTTTTAGCACGAAAGAGTAAAATAAATTTAACATAGACTGCTTTATCACCATTAAAACAAGTACTTCGATATTAAATCAATGTAAATAAAACATAAAATATTACATATCTGATAGAAATTTCAGTCTTGTTGAGAACAGAAAAATATTTACAACAGTCTGTTCAACTTATTGTTAGAACTTTCCTTTTAATAATTAAGTAATATATGAATAACATGGCTAATGTGCATATATACATATATTATATATGAAACAGAAAAAATATTAATTGCACATTTTGATAACGATAAAAGAAAAGAAACTCAAAATCACAGTGTAAATTCCGGCGAATTGCGGCAGACTGATACTTATAATAGGCATATGCTCATTGCATTCCGATGAATAAAAAGAACTGACTGAAATAAAACTAATATAAAATAATCAACTTTCTTTTAGGTAATTAAAAATAATTAAATGATTTTGTAGGATTAATGGCCTCAGTAGAAGTAAGAAATATTCACTCATCATTGCTATTCTTCTTATCTCGAAGTATTCCGACATACTCATTGAAACATTTTAAGAAGTCATCCTGTCTTTGCATTTTCTCCTGATGTCTTCTTTCTACAGCATTACCTATTGATGAACGTTTTTTCTTAAAAAAGTCAGTTGCACATGTGGATGAAGATTTTCTCTTATTGTCGCAGGAATATTTGTCATCTGTGATATTTTCTTCATCTTCTGTACTTTTACCAGTGCCACTCGATTCTTCATTAACCATCAATCCTTTCGTATTACTGCAAGTAGCTACAGGTGTAATTTCTGGTTTGTTATGAAGCATTTCATTCATTACTTCAAAATATTCCCATCTTTTTCGATTTCTTCCAGATGATGAGTTGTGTTCTTTGATATCTTTATATATTTTTAATAAGCCTTTCCATTTGGTGTCACATTGCTGCCATGTAATTGAAGTACCCAAATCAGTGGTCAAAATTTTGGAGATTTTCATCCAAATATGTTTTTTTATTGAATTTTGAAATTGTTCTTCAAATTCTTCAACTAGATTTATTAATCTCAAAATAGACTCATTTGTCCAAATTTTCTTCTCATGTTTTTGAACTTCATCTTCACGTTGTTCTACAAAATTTCTTTTATTTTCTCCCTCTGATAATTGTATAGATTCATAAGTATCATCTGTAAAAGCAAAAAAAATTATAAATTTCTGAACATTTATTTGTACAGTATAAGTAAATTATTGATTTAATTAGTCTCTATGATGCAATAAAATGTTTTATTTGGAAAATTTTAAGAAATCTTTTATATTTAAGACATAACCTCCATAAAACTTCCAAAAAAGAAATAAAAACTTACCATTTTTTTTATAGAAATATTTGTCACCAATTTGCACTATTTCGCGAAGTTCGTTGTTTACTACAAACATTTTGATCATTAGAAAGCGAAAAATAAAACGTAGCTTAATACTCGTACGGTGAACGTCACACTACAAATTTCTAAAGCAGCCAATTAATAAGTAGGTTATGTTGAAATCGGTAATTTATAATTTTCGCGGGCAAACGAACATTTCTCTGTGAGCTCGACCTTTGAATCCAGAGCAAATTGAGGAGCTTGATTTGCTATAAAAATGCTAATATCGAACACAGATGGGATGATACAGAGCAGAAAAATATGAATTGCCGAACGATTTTCGAGATAAAAGAGCAATCCGACGTCTCCGATTTACAATGCCGAACGCACCTATAGTCGATCAACACAATTCCATGACTGTCCCAAAAAATAGTCGCCATCACCTTTCCCGTCGATAAAACCTTCGGAGTAGGTTCACCATTCGCAGTCCACTGTTTTGATTATTCTTTCGTTTCAGGAGTGAAGTGGTGGACCCAAGTTTCATCAACCGTTATTAATCGACGCAAAAAATCCGACTCGTTTCGTTTAAACCGCTCCAACAGGGCCTTAGAAATGTTCATTTGAATGCGTTTTTGATCCAGAGTGAGCAAGCGCGGCACCCAACGCGCGGTTAAGTTACGCATGCCTAATTCTTCAATCAATATATAACAAACACGTTCTTTTGATATGCCAACAGTCTCTGCTATCACCCTAATCTTAATTCGACGGTTGTCCATTATCATTTGATGAATTTCTTCGATGTTATCGGTGGTGGTCGCAGTTGTTGGCCGTCACGAACACTCATCATCAGCTAAGCTGATACGACCACATTTCAATTCAGCTACCCATCTTTTCACGGTGGCAAATGATGAGGCAGAGTCCCCGTAAATAGCGTCCAACTCGGCTTTAATTAGCGTAGACGTATTGTCTTTCACATGCAAGAAGTTAATTATAGCACGATATTCAATTTTTTTCATTTTTACAAAATGATACAAATGATTGTCAAACAAGAACTGAACGTCCAAAGTGGCAACAATTGTCACAGATATTTTTCAGTAAGTATCACGATTATAATACCAGAATGGCTTTGACGAGTAACGCCATCTTCATGATGAGGCTCAAAACTTTTCAGACGACCCTCGTATATTCGTTAATTCACAATAGTTCTTGATAAATTTTTGAACGCTCGATGGGTGTTGAGAATCAAAATTTTTTTCTCAACGATTTACAAATCGAAAGCTTGAAATTTCTAGATATTGCATGTATTGACAAAAAAAACTATTAAAGTTAAAAATAGTTCATTAAAGTTAAAAATAGTTCATGAAACATTTATATCTGAATAAAGTGTAATATATCTCATAAACTATTAATATTTTGACAAGTCTATCGTAATACTTTTGCATGCAGATTAGAAAGATCATTTCAAATTAAACCATTTTTTCTAAATATATTTTATATTTAATGTGATTACCCTAATCCCAAAAATAATTAAGGGACGTGATAGATTAAACTAGAACTCTGAGGTGTATGCACACACACAAACGCGCGCGCGTGAATATATTACAGTTATATATAACCATTGATAAATGAATTGTCAAAATAAAAATAAAATACATACAATATTAATTCATTATTATTACTAATTTATTAATATACATATATATGTGTGTGTATATATGAATAATATATACACTTTTTTTTAACATGGCCGGAGACACTACCGCGTCTCCTGATATATACAATAATAAATAATGAATTATTATATAATTTCTATTTTAATTTATTTGAAATCGTACGATATGGTAATTAATAAATGATAAGTAAATGTACGAGTAAAAGAGAAACGTCGTATTAACATATTCTCACTCATCAGCTGAAAATGGACGATTCACTCAAAAATACTCGCGTATACGTTTGTCGTTCATCAGCGGATAAACGTGTATTGAAAACGGACAATCTCCTCAAAAATACTCATTGCATACTCGTGTATACTCACTATCGTTCCTTCATGATACACTGCGAGTGCTTGCGAGTGCAAGAAACGAGCAAGAACGGACTAAAAACGGGCTAAAAACGGTTCATACGAGGTCTAAAAACGGTGAAAAATGTTTATAAGGGTGAGACTTTCAGTGCCAGTTTGAAGATTACGACTATTCGCTTGTTTTTTAATACTTAGCATTTCCGAGACCAAACGTTTATTATAACATGGTTCTTCATCTAAAACTTTAATGTTATCCTAATCGAAATCATGTTGCGTTTGCATCCTATGTTCAGTTATCACAGAACGGATAGTCGTATTCCAATTAATATGTTTGCGATGTTCTGCAATCCTTGTTTTTAATCTGCCCGTTTGTCTAACATAGGATGCATCACATTCATTGCAACAGATCTTATAGACAACGTTACATTTTTTTATTGTTCTAAACTATCTTTCTGCACTTTAATGTACTTGTTTAGCTTATTAGTGCTGTGAAATGCAATTTTGATGTTATTATTGTGCATATGTTTGAATTTATCCGTGAGCACTGGGATAAAAGGCATCACAAACCAAGACACATTGCTATCGGGATCTATGTTATTTTCTTTGATATGCCGTATTTTAAATTCTCTTTTATGAATGCTATTAATTCTGTCGTTAATAGTGTCAAAAATACCAGGTATGTAAATATGAAACCGGAATTTACCAATAGATGGCCATAGCTGTCAATGTAGTTGCCGTCAGACCGCGTCATTGACGCCATTTCCTTATTCTGACATTTGACAAAGATATTCAACTCACAACAATACAAGTTTCATACAACAGTATAGTTTGTAATAGCGTTGAACATGTCGAATTTTGTGCATGGAAACTACGATTTGCGGACAGCATTGATTTTCTGTTACCATTTGAAGAAAACTGCTGCAGAATCGTATCGAATGCTTGTCGAAGCTTACGGTGAGCATGCTCTTGGTAAATCACAGTGCTTTGAGTGGTTTAAAAAATTCAGAAGTGGCGATTTTGACGTGAGAAACGAAGAACGTGGAAAACCGCCGAAAAAGTTTGAAGACAGCGAATTGCAAGCATTGTTGGATGAGGAGGACGCTCAAACTCAACAACAACTCGCGGATCAATTGAATGTGACAGGAGAAGCCGTCCCCATACGTTTGATATCCATGAGAAAGATACAGAAGACGGGAAAATGAGTTCCACATGAACTGAATAAAAGACAGGAGGAAAATCGAAAAAGCACTTGCGAAATGCTGTTCGCCAGGTACAGAAGAAAGTCATTTCTCCATCGAAATGTGACTGGCGATGAAAAGTGGATACATTTTGAGAATCCTAAGCGTAAAATATCATGGGTAACTCCAGGCGAACCATCGACGTCGGCTGCAAGGCCAAATCGCTATGGACGG